GGGGTACCATATATATATATGTGTATGTATAAGCTCGCCACCTCATATGGGTTTAAGTGTATTATCTATCCAATTTTTCATGCCTCAGAAAACTATTGGAAGCAATCAACGTCCCGCAAAGAGGTTGTTTACGAGGGGGTTCTCGTCTAAATGAATTCCTTTTATGAATCCTACTACAAACAGCACGAAAACTTGGGGTTCCTGGCAACTCCTGTATCTGTGGTTTTGGGTAGGATGCCAGTTTGCATCAGTTCGTTTGAAAGTTAAGTTTCAATATTACAATAAGTCGGGATTCCTGGTTTTCCAGTCTTGGATAGGAATTTGCTATATATGAATTTGTTGGAAAATGTGATTAGACATTTTTCGAAAACTATTGATTCGTAGCTTTGGGTGTTTCCATTGGATTCTTCTCGAAATGACTTCCTGTTAGAAGAACTCGTGTTTATCATCCTGCATTCCTGGACTTCCACTTTTGGATAGGAATCTGTTCCAAAAATTCTGATTCTTTCGCTTAGGCTTTTCCATAGGATTCAGGTTTATATGACTTCGTATTAAAGTTTGAATCGAAATCATGCTGAAATCCTGGATTCCTGGATTTCCAGTTTTGAATAGGTATTCATCCAAGGAAAAACGCACATCCAAGAATCACTGATTTGTTGATTGGTTTTTGTACACTTCAATAGGAATTCATAAATTTCGGGTGGACATGCGCTGGCACCCGCACTTCTGCACATCTGAACATCGAATTCGATGTCCTGTCTGGAAGGAACAATATCCGAAACCAGGATCCAGTAATATTCTCCTAGTTCAACATGTGAAAATTGGCTCAGAAGCTGCTGAAAGATACCATCCGAGAACGCATCATCAACAACACTGGTATTTACACGCATTCGGCTTGTCTCATCACAAAACAGATCTTGAAGCACAAGACCATGTAAACGCAGACCGTGCAAATACGGAGCTTGGTGGGGTGACCACATATACTTACATGTATACGTGTATATCGGGTGCGCGGGCCGTAGCCAAGTGGGGCAGAAATCACAGGCATAGAGAGCCCCATGACTGTCGTCAACGGACTAATAAATTTCTCATGAAACAAATCCCAAGAATGCAATTGGGGTAACCCCTCTAAGCCCATTTAGGGGGATCAGAAGTAAGGTTACAAGCCCACTTTGACCTAGCAGGTCTACATCGCACGGGAAAGTCAGAGGGAGCTACAGATGCAAGCCTTTCGGCCTCAACCGGCCGCGTTGAGAAAGGTATTATATAGCATATTAGTTTCCATGTTATTCTCGATTCTCCGGACATAACCCCCAATATAATCACTATATGACCCCAGTATGATCCCTGTATACTATAGTAGGTTCCATATATTACCCATGGGGCTCTGTAAGGCCGTGGCAGGTACTTGGAAAATCTGTGCAGCGCCTGCGCGGCCCCTGGCGCAGTTGAAGGTTCCAGAAGTGAATTCGAGGCTTTCAGTTCTATGTCGAATGCCTAGCAGGTACAGAGACTGGGGTGCTGGTTCAGGGAATAGTTTCACGTGCCTAGATAACGTCTGGCAGAGGCTATAAATTATGTGCAAGGATCTGCACCTGCAGAAGCCCTGACAGAAGTCTTGCAGCACGCATGCACATAAGGTCGGCAACATATTGCAGCACTGCAGCGCATGACACTTGATGAAATCTGCATAAATTCAAGTCGGCAGACAAGAGAGCATTCTAAGCGTGTCCTTGCATGAGCAATTCTCCAGTTCACAAACGGAAGTTACTCACTCCCTAAGGATAGCTTGTGATGGCCTGGCCTTTTCAAATGGTAGCTGTAGGCCTTGTCATAATTGCGCAGGATCTCCTGCAACATGGGATGTTGATCTATTCTGTGGTGTTTTCTTCGGACAGTGACGTCAGCAGCCACTTTCATGTCTGGGTCTAAAGTGAATTTGTGACTCACAAGCGCTTCTCTCACATCCCTCGTGATCAGCAAAGCAAGTCATCCCCTTCCTCATTTTGAAAAAATGTGTCTCCGGTCTTGCAAAGGAATCATGACCTACCGCGTCAGCAGGCCTCCTAGTCCAAAAAAAGCCAACTCTAACATTCCTATTGAGGTCCTTGCGCTCTCTTACAGTCAGGGCCCCCACAACTAGGTACTGTACTTACCAGGGAGTAAAGGACTGCATTCCATTGTAGGAGCTATAATGCCTCTATTCAGGGCCCTCCGCTCTTCTGTTGGCTTTCAAGTACGGAGCACCGCTGCAATTCACAGGGATCAGATTTTGGCAGAGCGTCTAATCATTAATCGCAACGAATTTAGTTACTAAGCCACCATGCTGTCCTCACACACTTCCAGAAGTTCGCCATTTCGAAGCTTCTGCTGAAGCAAATCGGTGCGGGCATGGCCCATCCGGTGACGAAAGTTCCTCAGAAATGCCATGGCTATGGGCGTCAACAGAAACTGGAACTGGGCAACCTTGTTTGGAGTTGGGAACTGGCTTTCCTCCTCCCAAGTTCGCAGCGCTTCTACTCGGCAGCCCGCAGCGATCACAACGAATATTGTGGGTTCATATCGTTGGGGCTGACATTGCCACCCAGTGAAAGATTTCACCCAGGTCTGACCTGCATGCTTTATGCTTCTCAACTCAGCTTGTCTCTTCTTTCAGGAGGACTCCGTTGTGCACCTTCTTGGCGCCAAGAGGCTCCACAGCCGAGCACAAGGCCTGCAAAGGGTCTTCTGATAGGATACCACATCATGGAGTGGCCAGCATCGACGAGTTTTTCAAAGGGCCGGAAGTGTTTGGAGGCTTGGAGGTGCATATTTGCAGTAGAAGCCTGACTAGTTGCGACACACTGCAGACTTCCCTTAAGACCTTCTAATTACTTATAACATAGCATATCCCAAAACGCTATTCCAAATGGCTTCAGTATTAACAGCATTGTGCCGGAAAGGTACGAGGGAATTTCTGCAGGTGGCGAGTCCAATCTAGCTTTTGGGCTTCCTCAAGACTTCGAACTTAGAGACCTTTAGCCCAAGCCCAGGCATGTTCAGCAACACCCCAGCAATTGACAGCAAGACCTCAAGGCACATTCATACCTTGACCTCTTGCAAGATCCTACCTTTGAACACACACACATGAACGATCTGAGCTCTGTAGAGTTGCTGTGTAATTGATGCGAAGCTGAACTTAATAAGGTCTGCAGTCTCCGTTATGTCCACCGAATTGCTTTTGGTCTTTCTGTATAAGCAGTACTGGCAAAGTGACCCGTCATTCTTGGAAACCTCACTATAGCTTCCTTTAGATGTCCCTAACCCCTTGCTGGCCTCTGCGCCAAAGGAGCCATAGAGTTCCACTGAACGCTGGGCACGCAGCTCGAAGGGCACATCCAGGTGAAGAACCAAGGCAGCTGAGACAAGGAAAGAACTTGGAAAACAACATGGAAACTCTATGGGCATGACTTCCACTCTGGGGGGAGTTCTCGAAAGAGTGGGGGGCCCTGAGATATGTGGGTTAGAGGATCGTTGTCAAGGAAGCTCTGCTGGATATTTTGAGAAACTTCCTCAACAGTACTTCACGCACCGAAGTAAATAGAACGAGATGTTTTGTCCCCCCATCAGTGTTGTAGTATGGAGGAGGGCGTTAGCAAGCAGCCGGGGTCCTAGATTGAGGAGAATGCCATCGTCATGTTGGAAGTATACAGTCTTTAGGGTGTAATTAATTAGGATAAGGCTGCATCAGAATCTTCGGAAGCTTTCTTTGTGCTTTCGAATTCTTTATACTGGTTAGTTGTGTAGGTTTGCCTTGGTACGTCCCCAAGCCTTGCCGGAGCCGCCGGTATAAGGCGCTGGGCAGCACCTGAGCAAGAGACGGTACAAGCCACGGCTTCTCGAAGGACCATGGGCCCGTTTGGAGGGGGTAATGTGAGTATCTGGGGGTATGTAGGCTTGCCAAAGGCTTGGGTGCCTATCATCTTCATCGATGCAGGGCTTAGAGGCTTTGAGCTTAGCATGTTAGGGAGTATAGGCCTCGCACGTCATGGATGAATCCCCTAAGAAAAAGTAATGACTGTGCATAGTTCCTGAAGGGTGGACAGCAAAACAACACATGGAAAACAGACAGAAATCAACTCAAAGATGACCTTGCTGCCAACGCGAACAGGCTTCAGCACAAATGCTGCGCAAATGAGCATTTCAGCACCAGGTACCTCTTCCTCGACCTTGACACTCCCTGAGCGTACCGCAGACCCAAAGACGTTGCCTGAAGAAACTTGCCACAACATAATGAAAGCAATAAAGAACCTTGCCCGAGAACATCTGAGACTGTAGTAAACGTATTCATTCCTTACATACCCGCGCTAGCCTAAGGGCTAGGAGCGAAAGCCGTTTGGTCCAAACAGCTGCAAAGTCACAAAGCCCAAAAGAGACTTCTTGGGCTGCATGGGCAGGCGCAAGTACAATAAGGTACCACCATTATCTAGTGCCACGCGCGAAACTACTTGGTAAGTAGGTCAAAGCTGATGTCACTTGAACTGGTAACATGAAGCATCATGATGGTAGGATTCTGGAACTGGCCAAAACCAGATGGGGCCCACAGATCCCATAGGGCCTATCCCAAACTCGGGTTTAGGGTTTAGGGCTGGGGATCTCGTCACATGATCACCACATGAACATGCCGAGGTCTGTGCGACGGTGCCTATGCGAGGGCCCTCATCCTGCATAAAAAATGAAGCTCTCTGTGGCGTGCTTGCACAGGCTTTTCACTTTTCTAGGGACATTCAGACAGGGTATCTGATCATGCTTGCGGGCTCATGGGAAGTGATAGCTGAGCTTATACAATTTATTGATTACCCAGTTTATGCAAATACTTTTCGTCTGCAGTACAAGGTTTTAACGAGGATCTCTCTTTTCTTCTGGAAGGGCCTGTCAAACTTTCAGGGTCCAAGCTGAACATGCCTGCCAAAACTCATGTGCGTGTGGGGGGAAGGTGCTATTGTTGTAATGCAAGCCATGGATGGTTCTGTCGCATGCGCCACTGGGCGGCAGCATCTCCACATTGAACCTGAGCTATTGGCCTCCCACTCAAAGTTAAAGCTAAGCAACCTGAGGAAGTGCTTCAGAAGTTGACAGGCGGAAATACTGACACTCTCATGTCCAACTGGCCGCAGGGGCCTGTAGTTTTTTGGCCTCGTGCTATGGCTAGCGAAGGAATTGACGTACGTAAGGCGATGCGCAACTGGTTGAGGCATCTAGGACGAAGACCTGAGCATCTCTTTACCCAGGAACTTGACTCCTGATTGCGGGAAGGTTCGCGCACCCAAGGACCGTACTTGTGGCTAACACCCCAGAGCAGCTACAGAAATGAACATCTGAACGGACAATGCGTTGACCAACCTGCTATACTAAACCACAAGCACCCTGCAGAAAAAAGCCTAAGCTTAGCTTGACTTCAATGGCAGTCTAAAATCCTACATCCGTCCTCCAAATAGACCCAACGCGAGGAGTCCAGCTTCGCCCACCGCAAAGCGACGTCATTCCTGCCAACACAGATGTAGATGCTTTGCGGCGACGCAGAGTTTGTTTGGGCAAATACTGGAACATCTCAGAAGTAAAGTCGTCCCAACTATAAGGATCCATGCCAGTGCAATACTTGAACGCGCAGGTCTACAAATAAGTATAGTTAGGCGATTCCCTCACAAGATTTTTGCCACGTAGAAGGTCGATGGGGGCATCATTTCATAGCACCAATTGCGAACGAATACGACTGTCACTGATGTTAGTCACGCTGTCTCCCTGGGCCTCACATGGAATGGCATCGCCAAGGGTCTAAGAGACGTCGGGGATATACTGGGGCTTATCGGGCTCAAACTCAGATGCCTGAGGCTTCGTTTTTTACAATCTAGAATGCCAAGGTCCTGCGTCACTTATAAGCGCACGACCACGACGTGAGACTTGGAGATGAAGACACAAGACACGTGTGTCTAGTTCCAGCTCCTGCGGCAAGTCTCCTGAAAAGACGAGCGTTGTCCAGACCAGGCGTTCACAGGTTTCGGTCTCTCTTTCTCATGGAGGTCCGTCATTTGGTTCATTCTGATGTGTTTGCTCTCTTCTCCGTGAAAGTAACAAATGAGCATCATGAAACAAAAGGCCCGCAGTCGCGGGGTGGATGGAGATCGGCTCAGGGCACAAAAAAGTGTTGAGGATGTGTTAAGATGTAGGACTGTGTATCATTGTTGAGGTGTTCAACGTTGTATCACAAGGGCGTTGTGCTTTCATCCCGTAGTGCTGAAGTCCTTTGGTAAACCACCCTCACTGCCAAACCAAACTCCTCAAGCCAAGTCTGAGAGATGTTGTAGCATCAGGGCCGGTAAGCCTCCTTTGCCTTTGTAAACCCACTCTGAAATGAAGTCAAAGTGCAACCCTGAAAAGAAGAAGAATCGACAGGACAACGCGGGCCCAAGCAAATCCGTTCCTCCTCTGTAACCTGATTAGAATCGTAAGCCATCAGCCCTCTCAGCGAGACCACTATGCCTGATTAGTCCTCGAACTGCAAAACGCAGAACAAAAAACACTTGCTAAGTGAGCCCCCGAAGCAAACACAGGTTCAACATGGGGACGAACCTGAACATCGTACGGCGTAGATGAAATTAGTTGTCATCAAGCCCCATCGCAAGAACCCCATGCCCCGAAACGCGAAATCCTTCAACACGAATAGCACCCCCGGAACCTACGGTATCTACCCAAAGAGAACCCTTTCGGTACTCCAAATCAGACCTCATCTGTTCGGAGCTTGGCTGAGGCTTCTCCTGGGGGTTTGGCTTGGTTGCAAAAACATCAATGGGCTGTGATATGTCTAGCTTTCG